ATCCTATATCAGTGGTGGCACATAATTACCTCAGTGGAGTTGCTGGCGATAGCTACACTGGTTTGTTATATATCATTTAATTACAAGTAGAAATAAGCAATGTTCAGCACTAACAACCACTGACCATAACGAGGTGCTCAGCTTTAGAACAGCAGTGTGTTAACGAAGCATTTCTTAGCAAGGTCGTCAATTGCTTTTACGCCCAACGCCCACTTTTTCCAGCCTGCTGTTAGTACCAGTAAAGTGGAAACTAAAGGGGCATTTTACCTCGTATAATTCGAATTTTTTGTAAAATAACTGTTTTTGCCTTTGTTGGCTTGGTTTTTCTTGTGTAAAAGCAATTACTTTCCAAATGTTTTTTACAGAATTCGAAATATGATGCGAAACTGTTATCCGCATGTTTCACTCTTTTACTTACAGTGCTGCCTACTTCGATGGCTAATACCACATACGTCTTGTCGATGCCAGCCTCCGCTCCAGGCGAACAGGGAAGGGCCATCGTTTATTTCCTACCCGTCGACAAAAATGTAACATGTGATATCAAAGTGTTCTATACGCCAGCGCAGAACTCCACGAAAGAAAGCAGTGTGCATCTGGAATTGGTTCGTTTTTGCCATATTTATGGGAAGACAGATATCTTAAAAGAATAACTGGGCCAAGTACGCTCAACGGTGAGTAGTTGACGTTTCCTAGGAAATTCTATCTGTCTGGCATTTATTTAAATACATTTTCTTGCAGAATGACACTGGAACCATTTGGGCATATAAGCGGACCGCTCAAAGATACGTGATGTTTGTTAATGGTACAGGAAAATTCGTTGTTGTGGCGGCAGTTAACTCGCTTCCTCTGTCTGATGACGAATCTGAGCTGCGCACTGACTTCGGTTGCTTCATGCCAACTCCAATCCTAGATCAAAGTAATTTCACATTTTCACGGAAGATTAGCTTCTGAGTGTTGAGCAAGACAAAATAAATACTGAAGCGGCTAGTGAGGAAATTTTTTCTTTCTCATGATTCCTTGATAATTAGTTGATTGTTTTAAATGAGCAATGAGAAGATTCATAATTCGCCTGGAGCAATCCTTTCTTATAAAGCAATTCCGGTTCGAATATTTTATGGAGAACGAGACGTGTTTTAGCACTAGTGCAGATGATAGCTCAGAGGCGGAACTATGATAAACTGAAATTTGAATCGCTCAATCAAAAATGCACTAATCGTGCCAAGGCAGAAATGTAACAGTAAGAGAAAGGGAACATTTATAAAAAGATGCAATAATCAGCATTTATGAGCAAACTTCCCTTCCAGAGATCCCTCTGTTAAACAGTGCGGTAGGAAACAATGGACTCAATACTGCCTCAAGTGGTTCGAAACAACAACCTTTTATATTCTATCACTTTTTTCAGTCGAAATTATTTGAATAACTAATGAAGGTTATTTGAAGCATGTGAAGGCAATTCTGTTTTGGACACCCACATCACGACATTGCTCACCACGGGACGGTTCTTTGTGACCGTACCTGCTCCTATTTGTGAGCTATCCGTTGAAACTCGTACTGCCAGTGGAATAACTGATGTTACGACAGTATCTGCCACA